TAAGAGAAAACTTTCGATAAAAATGCACATTTTTATTAATCTTTTTATTTTTAATATTTGCATTGAATATGTGCAATTAGCAGTGAATCATTGCATTTCACGTTTATTTATTACGCTTGTACAACTGTTAGTTTAATGAAACTTGGTAATTAAAATTATAATGAAAAGTTTGCAAACTGTTTAGACACGGTTACACTAAATTATTGACATTATAAAAAAAATACTAAAGAAATGTGATGTCTTTGAAATGAATACTACACTTCAATATTGACTTTGAGTCAAACAAAAAATGGAGTTATCATTGTACATGGTTTTGAGGTAATTTCATTTTAGTTTTCATTTTACGAGCAGTTTCTCTGTTTCGTTTATTGTCTCTTAAAATGTCAAGGCGCACAAAATAATACGGTACAGAACACTTACCTTGATGTTTTACCATAAATATAGCATTCCGTTACGATAAAGCATTAATAATTTCATGTTTATCCCAACAGATTTTATAGCTAAAACAATACAAACTTTTCTTTAGTACTTCCTCTTTAGCAGTATTTTAACAGTATATCTAAATAATATAGCTAAATATACAGCTAAAATAATACAAATTTTTCTTTAGTACTTTGTCATAGTATCAATAATTTAGGCGGTATATTAATCGATAGTTTTTTGTGGAACACCCTGCATATACAAATAGTTATATCAAGTAAAACTTAAATCAAAGTCATACAGACATTTAAAAATAAAATAGAATGAAATGCAACTGAAACACTTTGATTTGTTAGTCATAGACACTGATCAAAAATAAGATGTGAATAAGCCAGTATAATAATTAATAATATCGCTATTTAGGATTCAACTAATTCTCTACTGTCCTCATCCCATTCAGAGAAACTTCTGGTTCTGATCTGTTTATCATTTTTTTCTTGCTCAGCATCTTGATCCTCTTCGTCAACGTGTTCTTCTTCGATGATCATAACAGCTTCCTGAGGCTCGTCAGCACCGTTACTTTGTTCGCTGCATTGCTCATCGTATTCTACAATTTCTGTCTGTTCCTCTACATACTGTATTACCTCTTCTACCTGATCCACATTGCAATCCTCTAACAATTCTTCCGAATTATCAACTTGCATTTCCTCTTCTTCTTCTTCTTCTTCTACTACTTCTTCTACTACCTTTTCTTCGACTTCTTCGACCACTTCTTCCACTATCTCCTCTGTTTCTTCAGTAAGCTCTTCAGTCTGATAACTTTCATACGTTTGCCGATCTGTTCCTTCACTTCCGTGTATGTAAACAATCATACCATCTTCTGTACCTTGCATTACAATTTGTTCATTATCTGAAATGTTCAATTGTTGTGGCTGAGACTGTTGTTCATTGTCCTCTTGCTGATAATTTTCGTTATCAATAAGCATGATCATAGGCTGTTCGTCAAGTTCTTGTGTACTATAAGTCATCTCATGTGAAATATTATTCATTTGTAAATCCGGTACTATGTATTCTGGATTATTTGAAGTTGCTTCTTGAGATTCGGTCGGAACGCTGTCTCCGACACTCAGAGAAGCCGCTATTCCACTCGCAACGTGACTAAGTGCTTCAGCCTCTGAAGAAGGTTCCAAAGAAATCGACGGCATAGCTGTCGTTTCTGGATCTCGTAAATCTTTATGCACGCAGTCCAGATGGACTTGTAAATTTGTAGCACGTACGAAAACTTTGCTGCAATGGGTGCATCGATGTCCTTTCTCCTTTCCTTCAGATATATTTCCATGACCGGTATTAATTTCATGCGTTGTTAGCTCTGTCACATCTTTGAATGTCAGAGAACATTGCATACATTGAATTTCTTCTATGGCCGCTGAATGTTGACGCGATGTTGGACGATGATTATGATTTATCTGGTGTCTTACCAAAAGTGTTTCTGAAAGTGCTACGTAAGGGCATGCTTGACATTTTGGGAAACACATGCTTTTCGGTGGTGGTACGTTATGTTTTGTGTAAAGATGGTACATCAGGATATTTCGCTTTGTTGCTTTGTAACCGCAATGCTCGCAAACTCTTGGATCGAATTTTTCTTCGTGGACATCTTGCATGTGCCTTCTATACATGTAGTAGTTCGTGTACTCCTCCTCTATATCGCATTTGTTACATTTCCATGGGCCAGTTTCACCACCATCAACATTTCCGTTACTCTTTGATTCGGTCTCTTCGCTGCTATTGGTTGACATCAAATGATCAGATTTTAAAACGACATAAGAAACTTTTGTTTTAGACGCGTTATTATCCGGCGATTTCGCCTCCTTTTGCATTATCTTCAGTCGTATATTTTTATTATTCTTCACTAAGTGAGGATATTTCTTTAATACTTCTCGAATGATTCTGGCGTGATTATTGATTGAATCATCTGAATTAGCTTTGATGGAGGATTTTCCTTTTTCCATATTTTCTTTTTCTTCAAGATCAAATCGTACCCTTTTTGATGGCGATGGTTGTGTTTCCTGACCCCGCTGAAAACATCTACTTACGGACCAATCATCGTCTGAATTAATTTCTTTCAGACTTTTCTCGTTCGTATTACCTTCATCCTCTTCGTCTTCCGTTGTATCAATTTTACTGTCTCTATCCGGCGAACATTTACCGCTAGGCGAATTATCTCTTTTGTATTTGCCTGGTGCTTGCACAATAGGTTTGGTATTGTAAGTAATGTCATCGAATGACGAAAATACACCGAGCGCAAACTCTTCAGCTTCAGGGAGATCAAATCGAGAAGGCCCTGGAGTTACTTCTGTAGGCCTATTTGTTGAGGATAATCCGTGGAATGTTCGCATTTCATAATTAAGTGATGGTGAACTTTGGGGTGCATCTAGTTTTCTTTTCCAAATGGGAAGTCTAAAATGATAGGCATTTAGTTCTTATAACACTATTGCTCTGATATAACACTAAAATAATAGCACATTGGCTGTAAAATCGAATATACTTACTTTCTACCTGGTAATGGTGTAACTGAAAGTCCTGATGACAAACTAGAAGTTGTAGTCGGTGTTGTGGGGGTGGTCGTCGTGGTTGTTGGTTTTGTGCTGGAGGTTGAAGGCTTTGAAACTGCTACTACAGGTCTTGTATTGCACTTTGATAATTGTTCATTTTGTAAAGAACTAGTATTAAATTGTGCATCAAGCAACTTAGTCAATACAGTCATATTCATTTTCTGTGCAGTACGATATAAAGCATGTTGTTCAGAAGTCCAATACTCCAACTGTCCAGTGTACATAAAACTTTAAAAATGTTACAGTAAGTTATGCTTCCAAGGGTAGTTATTTGCCTGAAAAATATAGACATATTTTCAATTATAAAAGCTGTACAAACTATATTTAACAATACCTTATTATTGATTTCACACATTCATATGGCATATCTGGAGGCATAATAATTACTCCATCAAAATTTTCATCTTTTTCTTTTTGCTCACGTTCCAATTGCAAAAAATAATCTGTGCACGTTGTTATAACCAGACGATGAGCCTAAAATATTCATTAAATTCGTTTTCACTGTATAATATATTATAAAATTAATGATAACAGTATGTAATAAATACAATTATCAGCACATTAAAGCTATTACCTGAACAGTGATATCACTAGTAGGAAATTTAATAGTAAGATCAAGTAGTTCTTCCTCAAAATAAAGCTGCTGAAGTCTCTGAAGGAAAAAAGTTCCCCAATTGTCCACTTTCACTTGTTTTAATCCCCGAGAAGGTCTGTTTTTATCTGAACTTGCTGTTTCCATTGTGTACCTATGTATT